GCCTCCTGCTCTCTGAAGCTCAGTGGCTGCTGCCTTTTCTGTTGGAATTTATTTTCTATAATTGAAACTTTGTACCATTGAGTGGAGACTTAGGCCTGTCAGGGTGTGTGGAAAGCTTGACTTCCTCCATTGCCAGGGAAACCCAAGCCTCCTTCCTGCTTGCTCCATGGCCGCAGCCATCTTGGTTGGGTTTAATTTGCATACTTGCTCCTGATTGGCTGGTGGGATTGATGGTTAATTTGCGTATTACTCTTTTATTAGATAGGATTCTATATGGGACTGAGGTTTTAAGGGAAAAGCTTCACAATGGGAATTATTATTACTGTGTACCTATATGCCAGGCACTGTCTAGTTAATTTTTAGTGATTTGGAAGAAATTGCTGTGTAGTATTGAAGCCATGACATATGTAAAAAGCCTACTTCTTGGTACATACTAGGTCCTCAATAATTTTTAAAAATAAGATTAAAAAATCAGTTCTTTATTCTGGGAGAGTATTTTAAGATGAAATATTAATACACTTTTAAGATCTAAAGCCAGTGAACAACTAGGGAAATACAAGAAGAACAAATTTTTTATTAACTATGGTTGCTGCTGTTGGGAATAAGGAATCTGAATTGAGAATTCTAAGAGAGGCCAGTTTTTTAAAAAATAATTGGGTCTTCTTGGGAAAGTCGGAAAATAACTTCAATGTTTCCTAATGGAGGTATACTAGTAGAGTCCTCTTATTGGAGAAATAACTGTGAAAAGATAAACTACAGAGCAGAGGGCATGGACTGGCAGGCCAATGAAGCCTGAAGAAATATTTATTCACACTTTGAAGTACTTTTAAATTGATGGCCAACAGGCTAGCCCAGATTTGTTCTCATGGCATAGTAGGGTTCCAGGGGAGAAAAGGCTACTTGACACATAGATTTAGGTCTAACTCTCTGTCACTTCTGCTACATTCTATTGAGGGGAAAACACGAACAAATACTGAAAACCGAAATAAAACAAAAACTAGCTCACATTCAAGGGCTGGGAAAATAGGCTATTTTTTTAATAGGTATAACTCAAAGTTACATTACAAAGGCTGTAGCTACAGGGATGGCTGGAAAATCAGAGTCATTTTTGCAACTCTATACCACAATATTCAAATAAATAGTGTCCTTCAAGTTGTCATTTTTCAAAGCTGTATACTTATTCCAATAGTGTACCACTTATTAAAAAATACTAGAGGCCCTGTGCATGAAATTCACCCCAACCTGCACCCTTTCCAATTAGGGAGCCCTAAGGGGATGTCCTACTGACAGCTTAGGGCTGCTCCCGTGGTGGTTCTCTGCTTTCGGTGGACCTGCCTGCTCATCACCGCTGCAAGCCCTGCTATCTGCTCTCTGTGGGGACCTGCTTGCCCCTTGCTGCCATGGCCAGGGGCAAGCAAGCCCTGCTGTTTGCTCTCTGGCTAGACACTGTGGCCAGGGGCAAGCAGGTTCCTACTGTTTGATCTCAGCAAGGGGTAAGCAGGGCCTTGCTATCTGCTCTCTATGGGGTCCTGCTTGTCCCTCACTGCCGTGGCCAGGAGTAGGCAAGGCCCTGCTGTCTGCTTGCTGGGAGTCCTGTTGTCTGCTCTCTGCAAGGGCCTGCTTGTCTTTCACTGTCCTGGCCAGGAGTAAACAGGGCCCTGTTGTCTGTTCTCTGTGGGGGCCTACTTGCCCCTCACTGCAGCGAAAGCTAAAAGGCTGATTCCTGTGGGGCTGAGGGAACTGAGTGCCACCATCTTTGTGATGGAGAGAGGCCAATTTGCATATCCCCTCTTTATTAGATAGGATAATTAGAGTTGTTGTTGTTGTGTTTTTTTTTTTATCAGAATCTCCTTCTAAGGAGAGGTTTATAAGCCAATGAAATGCATTCTTTTTTAAAAAATATATATATTTTATTGATTTTTTTACAGAGAGAAAGGGAGAGAGATAGAGAGCTAGAAACGTTGATGAGAGAGAAACATCGACCAGCTGCCTCTTGCACACCCCCTACCGGGGATGTGCCCGCAACCAAGGTACATGCCCTTGACCAAAATCGAACCCGGGACCTTTCAGTCCGCAGACTGACACTCTACCACTGAGCCAAACCGGTTTCGGCGAAATTCATTCTTTTTTTTTTTTTTTTAAATATATTTTTTATTGATTTTTTACAGAGAGGAATGGTAAGGGATGAAACATTGATGAGAGAGTCAGAAACATCAATGAGAGAGAAACATCGATCAGCTGCCTCCTGCAGACTTCCCACTGAGGCTGTGCCTGCAACCAAGGTACATGCCCTTGGCCACAATTGAACCTGAGACCATTCAGTCCGCAGGTCGATGCTCTATCCACTGAGTCAAATGAGCTAGGGCTGAAATTCATTCTTTTACTGACCCATTTTATTCAACATTCTTGATTCTAGATAATTTTTGATGATTTCTAAATATCAAATCCATGATAAAAGAATTTTGAACCCTGGCCAGTATTGTGCAGTGGTTAGAGCATCTGCCTGAGCACCGAAGGGTCTTGGATTTGATTCCCACTCAAGGGCACTGTGCCTCGGTTGCATGGCTCTGGTCTGGGAGGGAATCAATCGATGTGTCTCTCTCACATCAATGTTTCTGTCTCCCTCTCCCTCCTCCCTCCCTCTCTCTTCCTTCCCTCTCTCCCTCCCTCCCTTCTGCTCTCTAAAAATCAATTAAAAATATCCTTGGGTGTGGATTAATAACAACAAAGAAGAAGGAGAAGGAGAAGGAGAAGGAGAATAATAATAATAATTTTGGAACTGACCTTCATCAAGGTTATTTTTAACGAATGTAACCAGACTTTGAAAACAATTCAAGAGAAGCATTCTAAAATGTTTAAAACAAAGGCAGTATCACTGGAGTAAATGGAGAACATGACAAACCTGATTCCTTTAAAGTGATTATTTTGTGTGTACCTGTACTATAATAATTTTTAAAACATTGATTTAAATTAGGTCATAGAAATAGATATCTATCCACTATAGCTAAATTTGGGGTTCGGCATATCTTAATTGAATGTCAAATAATTTTTTATCCTAAAGAAGCTTAGTGTTGATTCTCATGCTGTAAATTGAACCAAACTTACTGGACTTTTTTTTTTCTTCCAATTGCTATTTAGATAATGTTTTTGGAAAATAATATGTTTATGCTCATATGATCTCAGTTAGGTGTTGCTATCATAAGGATTTCTAGAACCTAATATCTTAGATATTGCTTTTGGTGAACTTTTAAACAAACTTTGTGCAAACTTTGTCTCCTAAATGGAGTAAACTCATATTGTCCTTCAAGGACAGTTGTTAAAGAAATGTGTACCTTTGATGTTAACCAACATTTAGTAGTAAATTTTGTATTAGAATTTCCATCATCTGGCTATATACATTTGAGTCTAACTGTCCCCAAAGTTTACATTAATGAGATGACCAGGTCATATAGATTATGGATATATCTACTTTTAGGGGGGGAAAAAGCTTTTTAAATTGGGAAGTGCTGCTTCAAGTTAGAAAATAGAAGCAGAAATCCCCAATTCCCAGTATTAGTAATATTCACCTTGAGACAGCTTAAAATAATTTGTTAATGTGAAATGACCACAAGCAGTCATGTTTTGGGGGTTTTCTAGTCCCAAAGTAGAGGACAAATTCACTTTGTCACTTATTAGAAGATGTTGTCTCTTCTTCACTTGAACTTAGAGTTCAATTTAGTCAATAGAGTGGAAGATAAGAATTGATATGGGCATATAAGACTTAGAAACCAACCTTAGAATGATTAACTAGCTGCTTGTTCACGAAGGTGCTACATGTATTTTACTTTTGTCCTCTTTCTGTGCCAACTCCAGCAGGTTTTTATGGGACTTATAAAAACTAGTGACCTAGTGCATGAAATTCGTGCACATTAAAAGGGAATTAATTAGAGGAAATATTTTAATATTGCTATTTGCCCTTTCTCTCTAATAGAAGTGTCAGAGATGAAAGAAAATTAGTAAAATGTATATTAAAATCTTCCTCCTGTCAGAGTCTGGGGCACACCATGAGACCCAGAGTCAAGTCCTTGCCTACCCACATGTGCCTCAAAATCGCATGAGACCCAGACCCAGCTGCCCCCCATCCTGCATTGGGCTAGGTCCAAACCCAGTGGCACACCCTTGTCAAGCCCCACTGGGCAGGGGGGCACAGCCTCAGGTCCCCTGGCCCGGTACCAGGTTGGGGGGCATGGCCTGATGTCCCCCAGCCCAAGCCGGGGCAGGGGGTGAGCCCTGAGGCCCCCCGTCAAGCCCTGCTGGGCAGAGAGTGTGGCCTGAGGTCTCCTGGTCTGGCACCAGGGTGGGGGGCGCAGCCTGAGGTACCCGGTCAAGCCCCATGGGGCGGGGGGAGTGCAACCTCAGGTCCCTGCTGATTGCTTATTAAGGCTCGTTATAGGAACTCGGCCTCTGCTGTAGGTATAGCCATCTTGTGTCATGGAAACCCCACCTCTGCTGTTGGCGCTGCCATCTTTGTGGCAGAGTAATGGTCAATTTGCATATTCCCTCTTTATTATATAGGATTGGAGATTTGGAATCTTAGTGTCTTAATGTATGGGCAACTCATTTAATTTTCCCATCTGTAAAACAGGCATTGAAAATACCTATTCACAGGTTGCTTTATGAATCAAATGAGATAAAGTAGTATAAACAATAGCCATAGCTTATGTTTATTGAGAACCTCTTGTGTGCCAGGCACTATTCCAAGTATTTCACATGTACTCTCCTATTTCATCATTCCTGAAGTCTTATTATTTTGATTTCACAGTTAAGGAAGCTGAGACAGTATATGGAAACTCTTTGAAACCTCTAAAGCATATTAAACAAATGAAAGCTATTGTCTTAAATATCCGTATAGTATACTTTCCCCTCTGTTTGACCTAAGTCCAGCAAATGCTAGCACTATTCAAAGTCCAAATTTGTGTTTTGCTCTGTTTGTTTGAAGATGTTCCCTTTCACCATCCAAGGTTGCCTGAGGATACAATGACAGTCACGGTGGTGTATGATAACTCTGAGGCAACAGAGCTCTGTGCAGATCAGCACCTCTACCTCATGCCCACAGCAAAATTATCAATGTATGACTCCCAGAGAGTACAGAACCTATGAGGTCTTTCCTTGAACTGGGAAGTTCTTGACTAGCTGAAGAGTCCGATTTTCCCTGATCAAAACAGCTCTTCTTGACCAGCTGAAGAGCCCAATTTACCCTGAACAGTTCACCATAGTTTGACTCCATGAGTACGAAGGATTTCATCTGATTCCAGGGGGAGCCTTAAACACAAAATTTGGTTCAGATCCTGAAGGCAAAATTACATAAGAAGATCATCAAGCTAAATGGATTGAAAACAGATTTAAAAGTAGTGGCTATAGTCGAAACCAGTTTGGCTCAGTGGATAGAGCGTCGACCTGATGACTGAAGGGTCCCAGGTTTGATTCTGGTCAAGGGCATGTACCTTGGTTGCGGGCACATCCCCAGTAGGGGGTGTGCAGGAGGCAGCTGATCAATGGTTCTCTCTCATCGATTTTTCTAACTCTCTATCCCTCTCTCCTCCTCTCTGTAAAAAAGTCAATAAAATATATTTTTAAAAAGGTAGTGGCTACAGATGCCCAGGGACAGTAGGAGCACTTCCTGAAGGAACAGGAGGCTCCATCAAATGACAGGGCTGATGAGCTGGGCCACAATAAGATCCTGGATTCCACACATTTCAAAGGCTTGCCTGGCAAGGGGTTTGTACCTAAAGGTTCCACTGGGGGGAAGCCATGTGAAAAGATCCTATAGGTGGTCACTGAAAATTTTGAGAAGATCAAGAATGTGGATATTTCTAGGTTTGATCCCTACAGAGAGGTAATGACTGGTGGAAACCCTTTGAGGAATGAAGCTGATGCTCAAAGGGAACAGTGGAAAAGCTCTGGCATGTAACATTAAGATAAGAAGTAGTCAGTTTATTTTATTTCCCACTCTTCAGGTGGTCCTGAGTAAAAGCTAGAAAGAAGCATCTAGAATAAATTTCCTTAGACTCCACTGGGCTCTGATCAATAGCTCATGTAAGCATTTGTGTTGTCATTTATAAATGGATGTTTAGGAAGAAAAATAATCCTGATTTGAACATTATTTTGTTATCAGGCATGCTTCCAGCTGGGGTTTTAAAGTGATTGTTGTTATAATCTGGGGTTCTGCCATAATTTCTTGAAGGCATTAAAAGTGTGTTTCATGGCTCTCATCAAAGCATCTAATGTGCTTATTCTACTTGCCAATCTGCTGAGAGAGAGTTGAAATCACAAGGAGAACAATTTACTCTCTTTATTATTGAGATCACAATTTATATTTTCAAGATGCCTGACAGGTAAATTGCTAAAACATAATCCCAACAAATTTGGGCAAATTAAATTCAGTTTATCTGTCTAGTCATGTCACCTTATTGATATCTGACTGCTTAGTCATCTCTTGAAATCTTAATCCAGCAGAGGAAAAGATGCTGCTAACCCCTTCTTTTTCTCTAAATTAATCTTTAGCATACATTTAAACTTTTAGCTTAAGTAGCTTCCTATGTATTATATGAATGTGTGTGTTATCTGTGAAGATACTTACATTAAAATGTACTTATTTTAAAATTATGAACTATTCAGTCAGACAAAAGATGCAGCAAATACTATAATGATACCCATATACCAGTGCCCAACTGCCCAGTTTGTGCCTATCCAAGTCTGTGCCTGATGGTGGTATTGTGATATCACCTGTGACAATGAAATGCGCTCCTCAAGGTTCTGCCAAAGAAAATCCTGAAGCCCACAGGGCTTTTAGGAAGGCTCAGCCAAAGTAGTAGAAGAGTATGAGTACTAGGATACAGAGATATTTTTAATTAATTTGGTTTTGAATTTCCCATTCCCAAATTAGTTTTATTTCTGTGGCCTGAGACATACTGGCCATTTTATGATGAAACTTTGAAATATTTGGGGGCAGGTTATGTATGATACAACCAAACACTTCCGTGCAGGAGCTGTAAGGAGGTGAGACCAAGAAAAAGAATTGGAGGAAGAAAGCAAGGAAAAGAAGAGAGACCAGGAAGAGTCTATAAGGTAAGGAGACCAACTTTAACAACGAAGGTGTTTTGATTTATGGATTTATCTCTTTGGATGAATGGCTAACTTTATTGAAAGATTACACTGAGGTGGGAGGGGCAGGAATTGGCTCAGATTGGAGAACTGCACATTTCTTTCAGCCTTGCTGTTACAAAGTCAAAGTGACAAAAACAATTGAAAACAAGAGACTTTAAAAGACAACATCCTTGTTAGGAGAACAAGTAATGAGAAATAATGGGACTAGCCTGATTAAACTAAAATGATTTTTTAAAAAGAACCAGGAACTTTTATAGTGAAAATTCTAGCCTACCAAAACTTTAAAAACATACCAATTTACCTAAAATTTACCAACTTTTACCTATTCTGCCAATCTAAAATGCTTTTTAATTAAAAACAAACAAACCTCTTTTCAGGTCTAGAAGAGGTTTTCTTCAACGGGATGGTCAATATTCAAACTAACCCATAGGCAAGAAGGTATGGATTGATTTATTTGGGACTGTATTTCTTGTTGGCCTAAGTTCTTTCTGTGAACCTTTATTTCTTTGAACTTATCATTGTTTCCCTATTTAGGAGATTGAAAATAGAAAGTAGTATTGTATTGTCAAAGATTTTCCAAGCTACAAATGGGCCAGAATTTCTGGACTCTGAAAATCAGTTTTACCTCTTGGCCTCTCCCCTTGCATGTTTATTCTTCCATTTTTTCCCCTGTAAATCACAGCCATTCAAAAAGGGAGATATATTTTCTTGTGTCTCTCAGTTTTTTAGCTGTTGAAGTGATATGAATTACTTGAGGTCATGTCTGTGAAACTTGGCTAGAAGTTGTGGCTAGTCAATGTAACTATTCCCCCCAAATTTCTAGACCAGACATGCAGTGTAGATAATCATCCAGCTTTTGGGCTAAGTTCTCACTCAGATACTTGTCCTTTTTTCTGTTTCTTTCCCCATGTTCCCATAGGGCCTAACCAAAACAGTTTACATTTTCAGAAAACAGCAGTTAAAAAAAAAGTCCCAAATCTACTAAGCCAGTATGTTTTTTTATGATAGTAAACTGTGTTGTAATATATATGAAGGACAGTTCTCACCCTAAAGGTTTTCTGAGTACCTTGACTTACCTTTATTTGCTTATGTAAAACAAGCTCATGGAAGGTTTTGATCTCAAGAAAAAGGAAATCATTATTGTGAAAGCTGATCCAGTAATCCCTGACTGTGGTTTGAGAAAGTGGAGGCTAGAGGCCCCTCCTTCAAATTCTATAGTATATATTTTTTTGTATTCTCAGTGTAAGGTCTCCTGTACTGCTTTTAATCAATCAACTCAATTATGTGTCTTTCTCCTTTGATGAATGCACCACAGTGTCTTTTATCTTCAGTTGTCTCTGCCTGGCCCTGGGATTAGCAGTGAGAGATTCCTGCAAACCTAAATGATTTGTTATTTGTCCATATTGCTCTCTTCTCTCCTCACCTACAGTGGGGAAGGAGTGGGAAGAGAGCAGATGCCAAATAAATACCTTCTGAATGGTTGCCCTTTAATCATTGTCCAGAAAAAGAAAAGAAGAGAGGAAGAGGGGAAGAAGGCCAGGGTCAGGAGGTGACCCCTGAAGGTACAGACACCAGCAAAGGAAGTGGTACAGAGTCAAAGCTGAGTCGCCTGGAGAGCCCAATTCTTCGGAGGGGTGGGAGGAGATGAAGTTCCTACTGTCTCAAGGCAGGTGGAGGCCATTTGATTGTTACTGGTGCTCTTGAGGAAAATTGCAGTAAGGCTCTTTCCCATTCATTCATTGTTCAGATTTGGTAGGAGACACAATTCTTCCAGTTAAGCTATCACTTATTTAAAATTGATTCTATGGAAGGCACATTGTAGTTTTTCAATAGGCTGATCTCTAGTAATAACAATCATGGGTTTCCAAAAGGTGTACCCAAATTTTCTTCAGGAATCGTGCCTTGCTCTTGCCATCTGTAACACACACGTTGTGTTGCTGAACTACAAGACAGTTTTACCCAGGGCAATATAGCCAGTGTATCTACTTTTCTAGGTTCCTAATGGATGTAACAGAAATTGCCAAGGGGAAGAAATGGATGGTGTGGGTTTGTAGTCTTCCGTTAACTTTACATGTCCATTTATCTGCAACAGTTTGAATGAGAAGGAAGAGCCTTGAGCAGTTAGCTTTGTATAACAAGCTCATGTCAATTAGTCTTAAAAGTATTTGCTAAGGAATTTCTCATATCACAGCAATTGTTTTATTTGGAAAGTTCCAATTTTGGAACTTCTTTTCCTTCCAATTACAGAAAGGCTCCCAAACTGTTCATTTAAAAATCCCTATTCAGCCGGGACCGGTTTGGCTCAATGGATAGAGCGTCGGCTTGGGGACTGAGGGGTCCTGGGTTCGATTCCGGTCAAGGGCATGTACCTTGGTTGCGGGCATATCTCCAGTAGGGGGTGTGCAAGAAGCAGCTGATAGATGACTCTCTCTCATCGATGTTTCTAACTCTCTATCTCTCTCCCTTCGTCTCTACAAAATCAATAAAATATATTTAAAAAATAATAAAAAAAATAAAAATCTCTATTCAGTGTTTGTTTTTAAAATATATCTTTATTGATTTCAGAGAGAAAGAGAAAGGGAGAGAAAGATAGGAACATCAACGATAAGAGAGAATCATTAATCAGCTGCCCCACACTGGGGATCAAGCCCGCAACCCAGGCATGTGCCCTGACCAGGAATCAAACTGTGATCTCCTGGTTCATAGGTCGATGCTCAACCACTGAGCCATGCTTGCTGGGCCACATTCAGTGTTTTTAAATACTGTACAAAGGGTAAATGGCATTAGTTTATTTATTTATTTATTTATTTATTTAATATATATATTTTATTGATTTTATACAGAGAGGAAGGGAGAGAGATAGAGAGTTAGAAACATCGATGAGAGAGAGTCATTGATCAGTTGTGAGTTGATTTAATGTATATTTGAAATATCAGTCTTCTCATTAATGTGAACAATCAGTGAAATCAGGATGAGAAAAATATTGCATTTCCACTTATAATAAGGGTAGCTGGATCTTGAAAAATTTACCTAATGACCACTGAAGAATTTTTCTTTAAATATGAACAATGCCTAATTCTTGGCCCCATTGATACCTTATACTGATTATGCAATTCCCATATTCTAATCCTAGTTAATGGGTAAACACTGTGTCATGATTTGTACCAGTTGTCAGTAGCAGCACTGTACAAACTCTCCCAGCAGAATGGGATTGTGGGCAGCACCTTTTACTTGCCCTGCAGTTGTGCAGAGCAGATAGCACCAAAGATAGAACTATTGTCATTGGCCACATTTTCTACTTGCTGTGTTGCTTCTGACCGAGGGCGGGCAGAGACACCCTCACCTGCAATCCATAGGAAAAAACTGGAATGAAAAACAGAAAGATAGGTTACCTTTCAAGTCAGTTGACTGTCTTGTAGACACGTTTCACCCACCAGTTTTTTGTGTGTTTTTTTTGTTCTAGGATTTTCTGGGAGGGCTATAGAGCATTTCTTATTCTTCTTCATATCCCCAGTTTGTGAACAAATAACAAAAAAGGGTCATGTGCTTTGAAAGTATGTAAATTGTGGTGCCTTGTAACATAAAGATGGGCACAAATCTAGTAAAAGCAGCTCATATTAGACTGAGACATTTAATTTTATACCTCCTGTTTCCTAGTACAACAGTGTATTTAATTTGGATTGATCCTAGATGGTATTAGAAACCTGTTACAAAAAATGTCAGAAATCCAAATTTTCTTTGAACATTTTAGTCTGTTTAGTTTTTTATGTCAGACTTTTAACCTTTTTTTTTTTTTTTTTGAAGGAATCCACACAGTTTAACCCATAAGAAGTAAATGTTGCAGCACTCTGAAACTAATCACGGTCTGGGGAATACATTGGAAACTCTAAAGAAAGAAAAGATAAATACCTAATATCTTCAAAATCAGGAGAAAGTGCCAAGATACAGGCTGCCAGTTTAGATAATAAATGAAAAAAAAAATGGAGGGAAGAAATAGGGCTCAGTTATATGAATCTTCCTTCCATTGTAGAAAAAATAGAAAAAATTCAGTCAGAAAAAGGGGAACTGGACAATTATTCACCAATGAATGCGATGACATTTTTGACTTCAGCGAGACTTCCTTGGAAATTGCATTAAATCAAGGTCAACGTCTTGAGAAGAAAGACCACCTCAGTTCTAATAACTATCCTTCCATATTACCTAAGCAATACCGTGGCAAGAAAAACCGTGAAACATGTGACCTTCTTGACTTTCTATTAAACCATTATTATCATATTCCAAAATATTCTTCTATCTGCCTAGAACCAAGTCACCCAACAAGCACACATCGGTGGCAGAGATCTGTCTATGCTACAGGAAATGGATTTCAAATCAAATTGAGAAAGTACAAATGTGACTCAACCAGGTGGAGTCAAATGCAAAACCTGCATACTTGGAATCCTGTGCAACAGCCACAAAATAGAGCAAAATTATATTATGCCAAAGGATGTTCTAAGGAGTTTAAATATCATCTCAAGTACACAGCCAGTGAAGCTAGTGATCAGTTGATCCCAACTGATAGAAAGGGCCATCTGTTGAAAGAGACCCATGCTTACCAGGTCGAAGAATCTGGAAGTCAAAGCCATTTTTCCTCACCCAAAAGGTCAGCAGAGTTGAAGTTGGCAGATTTCCTCGAGGAAATTAGTAGTGATTCTGAATGCTTCAATCAAAACCTCATCATAAACAAAGAGGAGGAAGAGAAATATGTGGCCATATATGAAAATGCACCTGAAAGAGGATCTAACAATCAAGAAATCAGTTTAAGTCAGCTGAGCTTGTATTCAAAGTATAAACATTTTGGGGAGGAGAAATACTTTGAATACCAATTTAGGAAACCAGTCAAAAGGTTCAAGTATGAACCAATAAGTTCATGGCTTGAGGGTGAAAACAATTTCATGAGGGTTGAGAACAGCAACAGCAAACTGAAGAAAAGGCTAGGTCCCAAATACATGCTTGATCAGGGCAACTACCACAAGTCCAGTTTTGGTTACGTACTAGGCAATACTAGAAAAAAGAGGAGGCGGTCCCGTAAGAAAAAACGTCACCAGAGAGCGAACTACAGATCCTTTCATGTTCCAACATCATCAGAATTTACTAATACTTTCTCTTCAAGGCGTTTTCGCCAAAGAAGACAGACTACATGGAAGACAAGATATAACCAGAATGTAAGAAGACTCACAAGACATGAGAATTCTACATATTTCAGGCCAACTTCTGATAATTATATTAGCTGTAACAATCAGCACACTAGCTATTTACAAAACAACTACAATAAGTCTTAATACTTTTAAATGCTTTGAAGGTCTCTTAGATCAGGAACACCCTTATTCACAATAAACAATTTGCAAAAAAAAACCAACCACATTTAAAACTAAGTTTAGCTGTGTAGTTAGCAACAACAAGGGCAAGAGAGAAACATTTAAAAGCTTGAGCAAGGTCAAATGAAAAACCTTGTTTCTCTTGCCAAACTATAAAACATAGGTCAAAATCACTGCAGGTGTGTTGGCAAGCTTTTGAAATACAAAACATTCAGTTTCTGAAAGTTGGTAAAACAATGTGCTTGCAAAACTTCCTGATCTAAGAGCAGACATTTCTTCAGTTCAACTATTATTTTAATTTGGTGCCATTGAAAGAGCAAATTAACATCGAGAAGTATTGAGATAGACTCTTTAACCCTTTAGCTATCATAAGGTCATCATTTAATATCAATTATCTTCAAAGAGGACAACAGTAGATAAGGATCTTTTCACATGTTCTTTGATTTCATCAGTACACCATGTACAACAAACTTTCCTAACTTTTATCTAGAAACAACTATGTATAAAAGAAATGAGACAACAACTAGAACATAGACTTCTTCATATCATTAGAGGTTTTCATGAGCACCCATCAGAAGGAAATTAATCTTAATATGTTCATAGTAGTCAAAGAGTTTTCCTTTTAGAAACAAAGTATTGGAGGAGAAATCTAAAAGGGGCTCAGATTTGTCCTTTAGGTTTAAAGGGACAGTGGACTATTAGCAGAGTTGTTTTTTGAAGAACCTTATGATATTGAGAAGAGAAGACATGACAGTATTTCATTTCAGGTTACAGAATCCTTTCAGGGTTGGATGATATCAACTTATAAAAAGCCACTGGATAGCCCCCAAATGACTTTTAAAAAACAGTGACAAGTGACTCCTCAATCTTCAATAATGCCGAGGAGTTAGGAAGAGTCAATGGCAATGCCTATAGTTTTCTACCTGGGAAAGTAGAAATACGTGTACCAGATTGGTAAACTCTTAAGCAATTTATCTTTTATCGACTGTTTTTGGAGTTCTTGAACATGCTTTTTTTACATTGAGATATTTTACAGATTCGTAAAGACTTACATCTTAATGTGCATGTTCTGTTGAAAGCTTACCTGATTTATTCTGCCTTATGTTGGATATAGAACCTCAGGGCCAGTAGGTGACCTTTTATCTCCAACAAACTATACTTGACTCAGCACCTGAAGACATCGATAGGATCAGACTGCCAGTAGCAGAAAAATGGTGATTTTAATCTGCTGAAGTATTAGAAGGCAACATTTTCATACCATTTGCAATAGTCCTAACTTGATAGAACAGTACCAGCTGGTGCCAAGGTAGGATGCCAATCAATTGGTTGCCCAGAGCCATCAGGCACAATGTGTGTTCATAACCAGCCTCTTGAGCAACCTGATATCTGAAGGGGCTGGAAAATCTCATTTATCTAAAGTGAGAGCCACGTGTTGTTTCATTGATATCTTCTAATCACATTCAATAGAAGTATGGTAGTACATGCAAAAGTTCAGAAGTGAATGTAGCAAAGCAGGTTGTTTACTATTAAGATAACCAACAAATTATTTGTTTTGTCTCTTTTCTTCAATTTCACTTTTAAGCCAGTTATTCTACCATCAAAACTAGGTTTGGCTTGTCAGATCTGAAAAATTGCTCATGGGGAGAATGCCTTTTCTCTTCTGAAGACTGGCATTGACTATTAATGTTCAAAGTACTGTTGTCCAAGCAGCCTTTTAAATCTATTAATGGCTTGTATTTTGCCAGACAACTTTCTGCAACCAGATATTATTCTCTTTCAATGAGACCCTGCCTGCTTATTTTCTCATCTTCCATGCCATTGAAACAAGGTTATGGGTTTATAATGGGAAGCAGATTATGTTCCTGAAAAAAAGCAAAGAAAACACACACCAATTTGTTATTTGATCATTTTTCTTTGTAGAGATTTTAGTCATGAAAATAATTTGCTACTCATAAAGACATAAAACAATAAAAAAAGTTTAAAACAGCATGTGCATTTTTTTTTTTTTGTATAACAGAGCTGGTGCTAAGTTAGATCTGTGTAATAATTTCTGTCTTGTTTTGTTTTGTTTGCTAACTAAATACCATCCTAGGGCCTAGAAGAAAATAAAAATGCTGGTTTTATGTTTACTTTGGAACAACCTTGGGTTTTTATGTCTTGTTATAACATTCTAGATTTGACTAAACCTCTTTTTTTGTGTAGGACTTAAATGTGGAAGATAATTTGTACTTTTCAACTGAATGATTTAGCAGGGAATGGAACAGAACTGAAAATACTATTATTACTTTATACTAATTAACATTGTTATTCTTTATTGTGATATTCTTTAACTGGGACAAAAGTGTTTTCTCATATCTTTTTTCTATGTCCTACGAAGGGCCTGAACTTTAAAACTGTTCTATTTTTCTTTGTATGTACTTCTGATAGTGTTTTAAGAAAACTCAAAATTTGTCAATGTATTTTTGTTAGTTTGTTTGAATTGCTCAGGTAGAGGGCCATGCAAACTGGTAATTTTGAAAATATGAACCAAAATAAATGTATTTGTATTTATTACAATACAGTTTAAATGTTAACCTTTAAATAAATGCTGATAATTCTATGTTAGTTTCTACCTATAGAATGCTGCCTTGCATTAATATCGCTAACCATCTGTAATGTTAAAGAAATAATACACATTCAATTTTCAGATAGATTAAAAATAAAATTGTTATAGTGAATAGAATCTTGGTTCATTTATCATATTATTGGCTGCAATGTTGGACATCTACAATAACATTTTCTTCTTTTCAAATGTTTTTATTGATTTTAGAAAGAGAGGAAGGGAAAGGGAGAGAGAAAAACATTGATTGGCTGCCTCCTGCATGTCCCCTACTGGGGATCAAGTTTGAAACTGAGGAATGTGCTCTGACCAGGAATTGAACAAGTGACCTCGGGGTGCATGGGACAATACCCAACAAATAGAGCCTCACTGGCCAGGACACTATAATAACATTTTCTATGAAAATATACATCTCTAGTTTCAATATTGTTTTTATGCAACTTTTTCCTTTATGATGCTAGTTAATGGAAATTGACTTTCAGAGATCATGAAATCAGTTTTATTTTCATTTTTGGATAAATTGAAATTGGGATATTGGAACTTATGATTCTTCTCTCTTCAACAAAAGTTTTACCAGTGATGGGGAAAGGTAGCAAAAGGACTTCATGAAATCTCATCTCATCCCTTCAGCTATTGGTGGAAGTATTAAAGTTATACAATGTTGAAAAACAAGTGTGGGTGTGGGCTGGGTGTCTAGTTTGGTGCGAAGTCTAGACAGTTATGTGGTATCCCAAAACAGGTGTGGGTGTAAGCTGGGCCCTTAGTAATCAGTCCTTGACCATTCATGAATTAACTGTTCTTTCACATGAAATGTAAAACAAACTGCCTCTAAGTATCCTATATAATAAAAGCATACTATGCAAATTGTCCCCTCCAGCGACCAGGAGTTTGACCGTTTGCTATGATGTGCACTGACCACCAGTAGATGTCAGCAAAATGGTGTTGGCAGTGGGTGGCAGTGGAGGCACTGCCAGCCCGATGGGCCCCAATGAGAGTGGGACCCCGATAGGATGGTGGAGCAGATGGGATAGTGGAGCAGGTGAGCGGGCAGCGCCAGGCCAAGGTGGGTGCAAGCAGGGCCCGATGGTAACCAGCGGTAGTGGCATGGGGTGGGGCTGCTGCCTGGCTCCCAGGCACTGAGGGACCCCGGCAGGGGGGCCCTGGCCCAGATGGATTGCCCTGCAGGTAGGATGGTTGTGCAGGTGAGGGGGTGGCACCATGCCAAGGTGGGGTGCCAGGTGGGGCTGCAGGGCTGCAAGGATGGAGGTGCGAGATGAGGCCCAATTCCCACAGGCCACCCCAAGGGACCCCACCTATGCATGAATTTGTGCACCAGGCCTCTAGTTATTTATATAAGGAAGGCAGAGTGTCCAATCTGGGCACTTGAGAGCTAAAAGGGTTCTTTTTGGGTTCCAAGAGCTCTTTCTGAAACAGCAAGGACTGTATGGATGGTTTTTCTGGATCTCAAATTTGCCCTCTGAGGTAAGGTTAATGTGACACTATGTAGAGAAGTCATAAATTTGTGTAGATACTGAAAACACTTAGAAGATGAGGCTTCAGACCCAGAGATGATGATTGTGAGAACAGTGTTTCTGTAGGAGTTGGACCAAGGCAGGTGAAGAGCAAATATGTTCACCTGACACTTTACCCGCTGGCCCACAGTGGTTCTCTCGAATTGCCTTTTACATAAAATGGCTTATGAATATGTGAACTGGATGTGTAATGTCATTGTTTTTTTTAAATATATTTTATTGATTTTATAGAGAGAGGAAAGGAGAGAGATAGAGTTAGAAACATCGATGAGAGTCATTGATCAGCTGCCTCTTGCACACCCCCTACTGGGGATATGCCCGCAACCAAGGTACGTGCCCTTGACCGGAATCGAACCCGGGACCTTTCAGTCCCCAAGCCGATGCTCTATCCATTGAGCCAAACCGGTTTCGGCTGTGTAATGTCTTTAGATTCAAGTCCTAACTTACAATAATATCCTTTTACATGTAGTCAATACAATGTTGATTTAGTTGTGAATGAAGGGAAATAAGGCTATTTGGGATTGAAGCTTTAACCTGGCATTAGACAAACCCATTTAAATTTGTAAAATGAGTAGCCTAATCTTAACATCTAAATGAGATTTCAGGCTGCAAAGGTGGCCCAAGTTTGTCTCCCACTCACTCCTCCAAAGCATACAGTGGTAAAATAGGTTGCTTGGCACAAAATGGGCAATTTATTTGTTGTATGAATCTAGTTGGGGAAAAGGGCACATTTAAATAAAAAACCAGGTAATAATATGGTTTAATAACAAAAACATGCAAAGCTGTGAATCTTCTTTCATTCAGGGAGTACATCTCTTATAAGAAAACTGCTAACATTAAAAGGCCAAAACACTAATATGCAGAATTAGTTGTGTACGTTAATACAATTGATTTTACACTGAGTGACCAGATTATTATGATCTCTGAACACATAATAATCTGGCCACTCAGTGCATGTGTGTGTGTGTGTGCGTGTGTATGTATTAGAGGCTTGGTGCAAGAATGGGGTCTGACCAGCCTGGCCAGGGGGAGGAGACATGGGCAGTTGGCCAGCCTGCCTGCTGGTCAAATTCCTGGTCGAGGAGACAATTTGAATATTAGCTTTTTATTATATAGGCTATACACTGAGTGGTCAGATTACTATTCGTTCAGAGATCATAATAATCTGGCCACTCAGTGTATATGCAAATCTAATATCCCCTTTTTGACATGAAGTGAATGAACTTTGCTACTCTAAGGATTTTTGATACTTAACTGATCAGATGGTACATTAAAACGAAACTGCCTGGTTGGATAGCTCAGTGGGTTAGAGCATCATCCCAATACCTCAAACTTGCTGGTTTGATCCCTAGTCTGGGCACACACAAGGAGTGACTGATGAATTCATAAATAAGTAGAACAAAAAAATCGATTTAAAAAAACCTCAAAAGTCTGTCTTGGCATTTGATAGCAATCCCTTCAATAAAATTATCCCTTTATATCCTTGCTATACATAGACCTAAGGTAGAGGTCTGCCTTTGAGTTTAGAAAGTTCTTAAAGGCAGAATGTGACAAGTCACAAGAAATCAATTCAATCTACTATTTCTTAACAGCTGATATTTGGTATGTGGTGGGAAGTTTCTATATTTTGCCCCTTTGTTTCTTCTGAAATACAAAACAAAACAAAAATCACTCAAAAGTGAAACTCTTAATATTTAAGCTACAGTAAAGTGATTAATCTCTTTCATTACATTTGTGTTTTGTTTTTTTTAAAATAAAACAACCCACCACACTATATTGGGTAAAACTATTTTATTACCTGACTAAAGCACTTCATTTTTTTTTTTTTTTTTTTTAGGTAAAACCATTAAACATGGTTCACAAGAAAATACAAGGAAAATACTATTCAACTACAATTACAAGAGTTTAAAACTTTACTAGTTGTTCACATAACACTTACAAATCCATACAACTGTACAGACTACTTAGCTAAGTTTACTGTTAACCATAAGACCAAGATCAAAGACCTAGACACTTGACTACTACTCTTGCAGTGGCTCTAGTTTTGTGACAAAACAGTTAACTGTTACCACTTTATGAATATACTTCACTTCAAAAACCACTTGGCTAGAGATGTGCACTGTTTTCTCATCAGGCGCTTAGTAGAGCAAACGTCTGACCTACATGCCCCTCATGTCAAATCATGTAAAATAACCATTGGTCCACTGTGAACATGGAGATTAGAAAGATAGCCCTATAATGTTCTTCATGTATTTATATTTTTAGGCAAGCCAGATTGATTTCCCCCAAAGCTGCTTTCTGAACGTTCAGATCATGTTTTAACCCTCACTGTAGAGAACAGTTAGTGAGGGTGTCCAAGTGTCTGAAGGACAACAATGCTGTCTAGAAACTATGTATTTCTTCCAACTAAGCCCAGCTTTGAGATTTCATTTTCTTACTGGACAACTCTCTTTAACAAATATCAAAGCCTTTGGGACACTGCAAATTTGCCTTAGAGATGGAATCCATGCAGTTAAGCCAATTAAGGAATTTGCTGTCTTTAGAGAACATCATGACTAAAAGTTGATCCTTTGTTCTTAGTGCTTGAAGAACTCTGCACATTTTGCATTTCTACGTGTTTGGGGGCAATACCCAACTCTTACCTATCTTTTAGGAATAACAAATTTAAATTCAGCCTGTACTAACTACAGATAGAAGAAAAACAGTACTAACATCTGTATTACAGCACTGCAGTTCACTCTCTGCAATTATGACACATAAACATGCACTCTAAGAAGTTAATTTTTTCAGTGTCACTAGTGATGTTAAAAAATTTTACAGCAAGTTCAAAACTTTTCTAAATATTGAAATCACCACATTTTAAAGACAGACTGGAATGTTACAAATGATTCTGCAAAATACAAAAATAGATATACATCCAGGAATGCTTTAATCGTTTTTCCGAGCATTCTCATCTTTTGGTTCTTCATCATCTGAGTACACAGTGGGCTCCTCCCCCTCCTTCAGCAGTTTGCCCACGTGATGATACTTGACTGGATAGAAAAAACACAAATCGTCAAATCACTACCACATTTCATGGTAAAGCATTGATTAGAGGCCTACAATCTACTTAG